CCGCGGCGGCTCCTCCGCCCAGGAGCTCAACAACAGCCGCCCCGCCAGGCAGGTGCGGCGCCTGGAGTTCAACCAGGCCATGGAGGACTTCAAGACCATGTTCCCCAACATGGACTACGACATCATCGAGTGCGTCTTGAGGGCCAACAACGGCGCCGTGGACGCCACCATCGACCAGCTCCTGCAGATGAACCTGGACGGCAGCGGCTGCGACGACAGCTCCGACTCGGAGGACAGCATCCCCCCCGAGGTACCGGCCTGGGGCTCCCCTCTGGGGGCTCTGCCTTCCACGCCTGGGGCACATCAGTCTCATCCTGCCTCCTCCTGCCCAGCACGGTGCTACTCAGCTGCTGCAGGCAGGCAGAGGATGGAGTGCCCGGATCGGCTGGGCTGCTGCACCAAGGGTTGGCTTGGGCAGTGCTTCAGGCTCAGGCCAAGTGTTCTCCCCACTCTCACTCACCCCAAAACCCATCAGGAACCCTTCTGCTGCTGTCAGAGAGACTCCGTGGGGCTGTGTGCACCAAGGGTAGGCTCAGCCACCCTCTTCCCTTAAAAGCAATACCTCCAAACTCCAAACTCCACCAAAAGCCCCCTGGGTGCAGGAGGCCCAGTGCCAGCAGGTTGCCCCATCCTTGCAGCACCATTCAGCCTGGGCCATCCCTGGTTTGCTGCTGCACGTGGGGCTCTGGCCCGCTGGGGAGCATTTCCCTGTCCTGCCCTCACCCCCTCCTCTCACCCTGCAGATCTTGGAGCGGACCCTGGAGCCGGACAGCTCGGATGAGGAGCCCCCTCCCGTGTACTCCCCTCCTGCCTACGAGAGCCAGGCCTTGGGCAGCCGCTACCCCCGCGCCCCACCCACGCCCCCGCCCAGGTGAGACCCTGCCCGGCACAGCTCCTGCTGCTGGGGCACCTGTGCCAGCACTTGGGGTCAGGCTGAGCTCCTGGGGCACCCTGTGCCAGCACCTGGTGTCAGGCTGTGCTTCTGGGGCACCGTGTGCAGGTCAGGCTGAGCTCCTGGGCACCCTGTGTGGGTCAGGCTGCACCAGCTGGCCGTGGCATGGCTGTCTGGCCCTGCTCCTTATAGGGTCCAGTGAGACAAAGCCAAGGGAGATGAATGAAGCTCACAGCTGGCTCAAAAATGCCTGTGAGGGTCTGAACCACCAACAGCTGAGGGGCCGGAAAGCCTCTCTGGCAGCGTGTGGAATGGCAAAAATCAGCTCGTGGGCGGGGAGCACTCACTGCTGCTGCTGCTGGAAAACACCAGGTGCTGGGCCAGCCCCACCCTGGCTGGCTGCTCACCACACACCTCGGCTGGATCACTTGGCCCCTGCAGCACCGCTCTGGCTGTGGCTGTGGGACAGCGAGTGTGAGCCCTGGGCAGCTCTGTGCCAGCCCTGCCCTCTGTGCAGGCTGGGTGTGACACTGGGAGAGGGACATTTGTCAGCTTTGTGGGCAAATCCCTGCAGTGCTGGGGCTCCACTGGGCTGGTTTTTGGAGTCTGAGGGAAACAGGGAGGAGAAGAAAAACCCAGTGTGCAGAGTTGCAGGGCAGGGCTTGAAATACAGCTCCCAAATATTCCAAACCCTCTGAGAAAGTTTTCACGCTCCAGAGCTGATGGTAACACTGCAGGTTTGGGGATGTGTTGGGGTTTCGTGGTTTCCAGGACTGCTGGTGGAGCCGGGCAGGCCCTGCTGTGCCAGGCCCTGCTGTGCCAGGCCCTGTGCCACGCTGCCACAAGGTGTTGTGCTGGTGCTGGTGCTGGTGTTGGTGGGTTTCTCCTCAGCAGAGGTGCCCCTGTTCTTGCCCCACAGGACGGACGTGCCCTGTCCCAGCAGCACTGTGCACTACAGGAACTGGAACCCACCACTGCTGGGCAACCTCCCCGAGGACTTCCTGCGCATCCTGCCCCAGCAGACTGCCCCAGCTGGCACACAGGTGAGCTTGGGCACCCCTTCCAGCCTGCTCGTGGGGTGGCAGGGACACCATCCCAGTGCTCAGCCTCCCTGAGCTTGCAGCATCAGCACGCTGGGTACCAGGTGTGGACTAACCCAAAAGTTCTGGAGTGTGTCCTGTTCAAGAGAATGAAGTGGGCAAGGGGTGAAAGAGCTCTCAGCAAAGCTTTGATATTTTTCCTGCTTTGTCCCAGATTAGTGCCAGAAATGCCACTTGCCATAAGCACCTAATGTTCTCAATTATTTGAACATCTTGCCTGCTGCTCTGGTGAGGAGCAGCAGGACCAGTAATGCTCCTAAGGAGAGCAGCACTGCCAGGGCACTTGAGGGCTGCTGCAGTGGAATTTGGGTGGGAAACCTAGTGCAAGCCAGAGGATTTACCCCTGGGAAATCACAGTCCACTTGTGCTCCATGGCTGTTTTACAAACAACATTTGGGTGCCAGCAGCAGGGCAGGCAATGGGCAGCATCCCATGGGGAACAAGCAGCCCCAACACATGCTGGGCATCATCCCTCAGCCCTTTGCTAACACAGGAACCCCTAAATGGATCCAGCACCCTCCTGGCATGGAGGGGCTGCAGGCACCCTGCTCCTCACTCTCGTTTTGTCTCCAAAGGCAGCCTGCCACGTTTTCATGAATGATTGCCCTGCAAGTTGAGCTGCACGGGCTCTATTACCTTTCTGGGAATAGGAGTGTGCCAATTCATTTGGGCTCAGGGGGACGAGAGGAGCAGCTGCCCTTTTCTTTCCCCAGTAATTGTGTGCTTTTGCTTTTTATGGCTCTCTGGGAGCAGCTACAAATCAGATAAATATTGTAGGCAGGGATGAGGCTGTGCTGCTCCCCAGGTGTGAGGTGTGACGTGCCTCGTGCAGGGGTGTTTGTCAGCAGGACGCTGCAGGCTCTGCTCTTTGGAGATGGGAGATAAAGCAGCGATTCTCGTACCTCCACACCAGGTTCTGCTATGACACAACCCCATGGCTTAGAGTTAAAAGTCCCTGCCAGCCTGTGCTCTGCTGAAGGAGCTCCAGAAGGCTCCCATGTGGGATGTGTGTCCCCTCTGCCCTGTCCCCATTCCCAAGGGGCAGAGGCAGTGCTGCCCTGTCCCCGTTTGTCCCTTTTGGCCCTTTGGGCTGTTGGGCAGGGGAGGGAGGACCCCTGTGGGAGCAGCAGTGGGTGCCCCTGTGGGAGCAGCAGTGGGTGCCCTCTCAGGGAGCAGCAGTGGGTGCCCCTTTTGGAGCAGCAGTGGGTGCCCCTCTTGGAGCAGCAGTGGGTGCCCCTGGGCTGGGGCAGCTCCGGTGTCACACACAGAGGGGCAGGAGGCCGAGCTCAGCCCCGGGGCTGCTGCAGGGACCCCGAGAGCAGCACCCAGCGTGTCCTGTTTGCCTCGGCAGGGCTCCCCCCGCTGCCGGCAGCCCGTGCCCCGGGGCCAGGGCTCGCTGGAGCAGGAGCGCCGCTGGAAGCAGTACCTGGAGGACGAGCGCATCGCCCTCTTCCTGCAGAACGAAGAGTTCATGAAGGAGCTCCAGAGGAACCGGGACTTCCTGCTCGCCCTAGAGAGAGGTGAAAGGCCCTTCAGAAAGTTCTGCTTTTTGGGCGTGTGCCCTGCTGTGGCTCTGCGTGCTGGCAGCGGTGCCCTGCCCGTGGGATCAGGGCTTGTGCCAAAGCAGAGCCAGTACAAGATGTGGCCGGGCTGGGGCTGTGGTCTGAGCTGCCCACACTGCCGGGCTGCTCCCTGGCCTCCTGCTCTGCCCCCTGCCCAGCCCTCTGCAGAATTTCTGGCAGAGCCCAGCAGAATCCATGGCAAGGAGCTTTGGGAATGGCCTCTGAGCCCTGCCAGTGGTGCTCTGCAGGGTCCTGGCAGCACTGTCCCTGCAGGAAAGCCACAGGTGTGCTAGTGTGTGCTTGTGGTGGGTGGGCAGCTCCTCTGCTGCTGTAGGCTCCCACCCAAGGCCTCGTGGTCACTGTGCTGAAGCAAAGCCCAGCTCCCTCCCTTGCCAGCAGCCACGGGCTGTGAGGGGAGCGGGGAGCAGAGCCATGTGCTCTGCCTCCAGGGCCTGATCGAGCGGGCGCTGCGCTTTTTGTGTTTCAGATCGATTGAAATATGAGTCAAAAAAATCCAAGTCGACTGGTGTTGCTGTCAGCAACGACTTTGGTTTCTCCTCTGTATTATCAGGTAACTTCCAAGAGATATGTGAGCATTGTGTCCCCACAGCAGGATCCCCCACAGCCCTGCATTCCCATCCCTCTGCCCAGCTGCCCCCAGAGTGGCTGTGGAGGAGGAAAGTGCTGATCCCTCCCTGCTGCCCTCCCAGCACAGAGGGGAGCTGGTGGGTCTTGGGGGTGGGTGCTCCTCCCTCCCCATGTGGAGGTGCTGCTGCATCCTGCCTCCATCCATCCCTGCCTGGGCTGGAGCAGAGGATTGTGCCTGCAGGCATAATGACTGTTCTGGGTAATCCTGATTAACCTCGGAGCACAGCAGCTGCCCAGAGTCAGAATTAGAGCTGGTATTTGTCGATGGCCCCATGTGGGGATGGGCAGGCCTGGGCAGCCTGGCAGGGCTCCAGCTGGGCTCCCAGACCTGGGGAGCAGGGCCATGGCTCTGGGGTCTCTGTTCCTGACCCAGATGGGCTTGCTGCTGATCCACTGGGTAGCATCATCCAACACCCAGAGCACAGTCAGAGCCCGGGGGAATTTGGAGCTGCTGACCCTGGAGGGAGGTGCTGGTGCTGGGGCTGAGCCCCTGTGAGGGTGTGCTGCCAGCCCACGGCTCTGCACTCCTGGTCCCAGGGGTTGTGTCCCCAGAGGGTCCCCATCCACAGCCAGCCCACCCTCATCCCACCTGCTCTGCCCCTCTGCCCTTGGCTGCTGCTGGAACTGAATGATTTGTCACAGCCCCTCTCCAGGCAGGCAGGCCCTCCCGGTGAGCCGTGTTTGGGTGTTTGCCTTGCAGGTGAGGGAGCTCCCTCTGGAGCCAGCGAGGCCGGCGGGGCCGTGTCCGACGATGCCTTATTCCGAGACAAGCTCAAGCACATGGGCAAATGTGAGTGTGCAGGGCCCGGGCTGGCACCTGGCAGGGCTGGGGGGCAGCTGGGAGTGGAGTGGGCAGGGGGAATGGCAGCAGTACCTGGCACTGTGCCAAACTCAGGCACAGCCTGATTTTCCCACCACAGACTAGAGCAAGGTCCTTGGGTGGCCCCAGCTGGGCTGAGGGCACTGGGAACACTGGGAGGGGTGGGTAAGGAAGGTCATGAAAATCCCAGAAAAAGGGGAAAACATGAGCACCTCCCACCAGGAACCAAAGTGTCCCTGTCCCCCTCCCCGAGTCTGAGCATCACCACAGGGTGTTGGGTGTGGGTGGCTCTCACTCCCCTGGCCCTGCCCCTCTCCTTTCCCCTGCCTGTGGCAGCTTTGGGAGGGGTTTTGGGGTTTGGGTGAGACCCTCAGGGAGCTGCTTCCTTCCAGCCACGCGCAAGAAGCTGTTTGAACTCGCCAGAGCCTTCTCCGAGAAGACAAAGATGAGGAAATCAAAAAGAAAACACTTGTTGAAGCACCAGGTGTATCCTGAAAGGCCTGTGGGGCAGGGGAGGCTCCCCAAGGGCTCCTGTGTGGCTGGAGCATGGGCTGGGAAGGGTGGCTGTGGTCCCTGGCCACATCCTGGCCCCACAGTGGTTTTCCTTAGCGGAGGGAGCAGGATGGGGACAGCAGCCTCCACAGCAAATCTTCTGGATGACGTGGAAGGACATGCATATGGTAAGGAGTGCTGTGCCAGGCTGTGCTGGGTGTGCTGGGCTTGGCAGGCTGGGTCCATGGTGCCACATCCCCCCAGGGCTGGCTCAGGTGTGAATGCCTGGCAGAAATACCCTGTGGGCCAGAAGCCTCTATCCATAAAGAAACTCCCCGAGTGCCACTGGGAATTGTCTCTCTGAGCAAGGAGACCCTGCCCTGGGGAAGCTGGGCTGCCTCCCCCGGGCTGGCACCGTGGTGCAGGGGTGCCCTGGTGTGGAGGTGCTGCAGCCCCACCTGCCTCTGCCTTGCAGATGAAGAGTTCCAAGCACGGCGGCAGCAGCTCCGCGAGGAGGAGGAGACGCCGAAGGAGGGGCAGTAAACGGTGAGAGGCGCCTGGGGATGGGTGGGTGATCACCTGGGTGTGCATGGCCCAGCCTGGCTGGAGGAAGAGCCAGTGCTGTAGCCTGGGTCCAGAGTGTGTCCGGGTGGGGACAAGCCCCTTCAGTGGCCATGGTGCTGTCAGTGTGTGGCTGAGGCTGAGCACCTGCTGTTCTCCTTCCCATCCCCGCAGGTCCCAGCTCTGGGGTTCCTTGCTGGCACAGGACGTGCACGAGGCTTCATCAGGAGATGGCTGAAAAAGGAAAAACCCACCCAACAAACCACGCAGATTTTGGCTGTTCCCCCTCTGCTGCTGTACTCCTCTGAAGTACAAGTATCGAAGTGAGGCACAGTGTTTTCTTACCAATGGTTTGAAAACGACTTTTCCTATCGAGAAAATCAGCCAAAAAGGCAAAAAAAAAAGGCAAAAAAAAAAAAGCGGGCAGCTGCTGCGAGTGAGCGGCTGCGGCTGTGGAGGAGCCAGCGAGCTGGGCTGGGCTGGGGCAGCCCCGCCTGCTCCCCGGCCGGCGGCACGGGAGGAACGAAATGGAATCAGCGCTACTAACGAGGATCCAGTCCCACGCGGGGTCTGCCCGGCCGGAGCACTCCTGAACATATCTGTAGGGCTCTGATGTGACTGCACTCTGCGCACACCGGAACAAAAACCACGCCAGAAAGGGAAGCTAACAGCCGTTGTCTATTATTGCTAGGAGTAATGAGCAGAGATTCAGATCAGGTAATAGTCAAATAATATAAATTGTTTATAAAGGAAAGGCCTTCTTTTCCTAGGCGTTTCACTTTGAATTAAACATTTGCCTTCGGCATTGCTACAACTGCCTTGAAGTTGGGGAGCTTTGTGGGGCAGCATCAAGGGCTGGATTCCTCACCGGTTTAACCCTCACTGATGGAGCAGGACACGTCCCACGGGGTGTGGGGTGCTGGGGGTGCCTGCTCACCTCACTGTAGGTGAGAGGCAGAGCCCAAGCCAGGGGCTGGCAGGGCTGGTGGAAGTGTGTCCAGCACACAGTTTGTACCAGGGCCTGGCGCACTGCTGGGTTTGGTGCGGGGCAGGAGCAGAGCCCCTTCCTCGTGCCCGCAGCGCCGGGATCCTGCAGCTCTCGGAGATGCTGTCAGGCTAAAAATAATTACATAAACAAATTCCTTCGCTGTGTAAGTAATGAGTGACGAGCGTAAAGTCAGAATCCGCTCCCGCCAGCACATTTTCTTCTCCTTTATCGGCACAACGCTCCCTGCCAAATGCAGGAGGTGGCTCTAGACGTGCCTGTTTCACTGCCTGCCTCCTGCCAACCAGCACAAATGTTGCAGGATCGGAGCTGTGAAGGCGGCAGACGCAGGAGCCCCAGCCATCAAACACTCACGCAACTGTTTTCCCTGCCTCTCGGCAGGGTTTGGTAACAAAAGTCCCCCTTGCAGGCGCTGGCTCCCTCAGGCTCCTCTGCAATCCCCACGGAGCCCGCGTGCCTTTGAAGTGGACGCCAAGATTTGCTGCCCCGGCGGCGCTGCAGCTGCTGCACCTGTTGAGCGCTGCTGCCATCCCCTCCAGCTGTGCCGGGGATCAGGGCATCCCCTGAGCCTCACTTGCCCTGGTTCCTGGCCAGGGTAGGGCTGTTCCAGGTGTCTGGGGCTGTTTCAGGGGCTGCAGGGTCTGGGCGCTGTCTCTGTAGCACAAAACTCTCCTGCAGCACCGGCGCTCAGATGAGTTCTGGGGTGCCGAGGGCCAGGGCAGGTGCCATGGGCTGGGAGCACCCTGGGATGCCAGCAAGCTTTGCGTTCCTAAAATCAAAGCAGCAGAATTCCCACCCCACCCAGCCCATACCAGTTCTGGTGTCTTTTGAAGGATGGAGGAGCAATCCTGGGTTGTGGCAGCACGGTGACAGGTTAGACCACCTCAAGCCATGCTGGGGTACCACACCGTGGGCAGCACCCCTGCTTCTGGTGGGGTGCACAACTGTCAGGAGTGGGCAGACAATGCCCCAGGCTGCCCTGCCCTGCCCAGGGTAGGATGTGGGTCTGGAGATGTGCAAGGGGCTAAGGGGCAATCAGGGAACGGAAAATCCTTTAGTCCCTGGTGGGATTTCCATTCTGAGAGAGCTGAGGAGAAGGAGGGGCTCCTTCCCTGCCCTCCTGGCCCTGGGGGCCCTGAGGCTGCCGTTACTCCCTCCCAGTCCAGAGCAGCTCTGCATATTTGGAAGAAAATCAAACTTGGAAGCGGATCAGGCTGTCATCATTCCACGGCGGGCGGCGGTGCCAGCGCGGTTTCCATGAGCGCAGGAAGCACCACGGCTGGGAGGGAATTCTGGAATTCTGCTCTCCCGGACCGGGAGGGGCTGGGCTGGTCCTGCCCTGGCTGCAGGGATGGGTGAGCTGCCCTGGGAGATGGCACAGGGCCACAGGCCAGTCCTGTGCACCGCTGGGAGCCGGGACAGAGTGGGGGACACTGTCCCTCCTCTCAATCTGCTCGATAAGGGACACCTGGGTCACCTCTGCCACCCAGTCCAGGTGTGCTGGGAGCATCCCCAGGCCAGCAGCTGCCTCTGCTTTCTGCCTGAGCTCATCCCCTCTGCTTCCACTGGGAGAGGGACAGCGAGGAGGGGACAGCACAGGGGGCTCAGTGCCCAGCCCTGCTGGCTCTGACCCTGCTGGGCTCCTGCACCAAAGCTCCATTGCCACCCAGGCCTGGCACAGGGCTCTGGGCACGGCTCTGCCACCACCCCCCAACAAGCTGCCCTTACACATCCCAGGCCAGGCACAGCCTCTGGGGGATGTCACTCTGTGGCTGTGTCAAAATATCCTGGAGGCACAAAGCATGGTTTTAATGGAGGTGGAGAGGGGTTTTTGTGTGCTGTACAAAACAAAAATCAGGTTTATGGAGTGGAAAGGCCACAAACCCGGCTTGGGGGCCAAAATGTGTTTCTTACATAAAAATGTACAATTCTCAGTGATGTTTGTATCATTTCTCTGCAGAAAGGTTTCGAAAGAACAAAACAAACTGATCTGTGACATTTGTGAGTGTGGCTATTTTAGAATTTTATTTCCATAAGTGATCTTTTTCTTAAAGATGTTTAATAGTAATTCCTATAATAAAGTCCCGTTGTACTCTTAACACTGTATATATATTTTTTAACACTGTGTCTTTTTCTGCTCCTTAC